CTGAAATATGTCAATTGGTATACCATCTATTCCTGGGGCCTTATTTTTTGCCATTTCCTTCAAAGCAGCCTGAACTTCTTCTTTAATCACTATAGGCTCTTGCTCACATGTTGTCTGTAGAGTAGGTATATTCTTTTCTTTCCAAGCATGATAAGGGGTGGGGGAAATAGAGATAGTTGTTAGCACACATATAAAACTAAAATCTTTATTCCACCCTTAACTGATATTTCTTTAACACCTAGAACTGTGCTCCTGTATGCAAAATCATCCATTTCTGCGTACTAAACTAAAAAGATTTCTTGCTTCATTAAAAACAAAGAAAAAAAAATCCATGTTGGTAATTCATGACACAGTCTTTAAATAACAAAATATTTTCAGAGTGAAGCTAGGTGGTACCATGGCATCCATCAGGAATTCCAAGTGCAGAAAGCCACGGATGACAATGTTCAGAGACACAGGCCTGTCAGGTGCATCAGAATCACAGGCATGTGACAGAGGCCACGTGCCCAATTAAGTGTTTAGTTGATGATTTGGCTGGGAAGAAAGCAATGACATCACGGGCTGGAAAGCCACAAGGCATGTTCCCGTGCAGGTGACACAAGCTCAACCCAGGCTGTGAACTGTGAAGGTTAATAGACTTAACTGCCAAACGAGGAAGCTCATCTCATGACCAGCCGCCCGGGGGGACTCTCCGAGGCTGACAGGCACCTCGGGGAGTCCTCTGCCAGTTACAGTTAAAGAGGTCACTCAGCGATCAGTGACGTTACACTCCTCAAAGGAGTGTTTGTGATACCTTCCCTTAACTAGTCCTAAATTTTATTCACGACTAGAAGAAACTGGGAGTTGTTTATAAATTTGCTTTCTACGCCCAAAGAAACTTATTTATAACATCTCAGTGCTACTCCCTCCGTGTTATCAATACCCCACCCTCCACAATCCCCTCAAACTAGTCACACACACGCAGAATCTCAACCTGCCACCACTCCAAAGCTTCTCAAACTATCCATATTCGCAAAACTCCTGCTGTGTCAACTCCCAGAGACCCCTCCTCGATCTGATTCCGTAAATTCCCCCTCCTCGTCGCCAGCATCCTACTCTCTTCCGTCAACAGCTCTGCCCTATCAGGCATGAGTCTCGTCACCAGCGGCCTCTCTAGTCACCGGTCACCACCGAGACCCCCTCTAGTGACCAGTTCCCCGCACAGACCCACCCACTCCGTGGCCAAGGCCACCGACCCCGCTCACGCGCGGACTTCCCGCAGAGTCCTCTCCAACCCCGCCCTCGGGGGTGAGGCCCCCTCCCATGTCCCGAGGACCAATGAGCGTCCCCGGAAGCCACGCCCCCGCCGGTTGCTAGGCTCTGGCAGCCGGAAATCCCGCCTGCCGTGGAGTCGCTGTCTCCGCAGTTGCTGCCGTCGTTGTTGTTGTGGTTTGTACGGTCAACTCCTCGGCTCCGCGAGCCGCCTCGACCTCCTCCTCGCCGCCGCCATGAAGTGGATGTTCAAGGAGGACCACTCGTTGGGTAGGTGCCCGGGCGCCGGCCGGGCCGCGGGGATCGGGAGGCGGGCGGGCCCCATCCCCCACTCGGGCCGCTCCGGGCCGGGCCGCGCGGGGCGGATGCCGCGCCCCGGGTTTGGGTCGCCGAGGTCCTCGCACCTGGAACCGCCGCCCTCTGAGCGCAATCCGCGGGCCCCGCCGGTCCAGCCGGGAGTCTGGGAAGAGCGGCCGCGGGGACATCGGAACTGGGCCCGGGGCTTGCGCAAGTCGCACGGGGAGGAGGGCTGGGGACCTGGGAACCTGTCAACGGGCAGAAGCGACGTCAGCCCCTTGTGTTTTCCCTCGCAGAACACAGATGCGTGGAATCCGCCAAAATCCGCGCGAAATATCCCGACCGGGTTCCGGTGAGTGTTTGGCCTCCCCCGCCCCCTCACCTCGCTGTCACCCCTGCCGTCTAGGGCCCCAGATGGGGCTCAGGGCCATTCAACAGTTGATAGGTCGAGGTTCCTGCTCCATCCCTGGTAGCAGATGGGTCGGACTGGGTCAGGGGCCGGGCACTAGGGGACTCGAGCTGGTGCTGTTCAGGGTTCTTCAGTGCTGAAGCCGCCGATCTAGGCCAGCGAGCTGTCTGCAGCCTCCGAGCTCCCTCGCTAATTATATAAGGATCGTTGTTCTAGGACAGGGCAACAGGTCACTGCCACTTTTGGGAATGGTGATGGAGGGAGATTGTCACTCTGATGGTAGTACTACTACTTCCGACTCCGGACATTCATCTTGAACTGCAAGCCTTTAGCTGTAGCCAATTTCTAGTTCCTTTTCTTTACCCTGACCTTGTCGTCCCTGGTGCTGAAACAGAAAACAGAAACGACAATGAAACTCCGATCTTCCTTAATTGGTAATAAAGTCAAGCCTATATATTTTGTTTTGACAGTTTTTAAACTTTGATAATCAGCTATTTTCATATACTTTGACAGTCTGTAGATTTTGAAAGTGGTGACAGGTACATAGGTAACCAGCATAGATAGCTTGTTTGGGGAATCTTCATCTCATTATATTTTCTGGACAAGCATACACGGATGCGGTATGGGATATTCCTTATTCTTTTGGCCCAGATGGCTTTGTTAAGCCTGGTGTCAATGGGAACAATTCATCAAGGATCAGCAGGGTAAATGAAGAGCTTGGTGGTTCTTGGTTAGCTGGAATTGCCATTCTGTATTCTCATCATTTTGTGTGTGTACCATCAAATCGGATCTGACAGGTACAGGAGGAGATTGCGCCTCCTTCTCCAGGAGAGAATCTGGTGGATTCGAACCACGTACCTCTGGGATTGCAGTGCAGATTCTTGCCACTAGGCCACCAGAGCTCCCTGTTGAAATTGCCATTCTTAAGAGTCAATAAGTATACTTTGGAGAAGATGCAACCAGGGTGCTTCTTGGAGAGGAGGATGAAGCTTTGTCTCATGTACTTTGATCATGCATTTTGGTCATTTTTGTCTGGTCCTTGGAAAATGATACCATGCTGGGAAAGTTGGAGAGTCACAGAGAGGATGACCTTCCACATAGATGCATTGATACAGAGACCATAACGGTGGGCTCAGGTTGGATCAGAGATGATGAGGATGGTTCAGATCTATTGGTGGTGGTGGTGTTTGTTGTAGATTGTTTTGAGCACAACTCAACTCATAGAAAAGACCCAACTCGACTCACAACAAAGGCCCGAAGCCCTTCTACAACTAACGACATCATCAGAGTTCATAGAGGCGTGTTATTTAGGAAGTGGATGCCACTCCTGCTTCCAGACCTGCCACACTATGTGCCATTTAGTCACCTGTGATGTATAGTAACCCTATGTACAGCAGCTCTGAACCCAGCCCTGTCCTGAGCCAGTCTCACTAATTCCGACACATCAACCCCCTTCGTCCCAGTCACTGTATCAATCCATCTCATCTGGGGTCTCTGTCTTCGCGCTGTCCAGTCACCCTTCCGAGCATGTCTTTCTCCAAGGGCCAATCTCTCTTGGCCACGTGCCCAAAGTAAGTGAGGTGGAGCTTCAGAATCCTAGCCTCTGTTGTTTTGAGGGCTGATAAGAGTCATTGAACTTGAAACCACCTAACAATAAGTCTCATCTCCTGGGTTCCTAGGTATCTTAAGTCTCCTTTGGTCTGAAGGTGGGCTAATAGAGGGCCCTGGAGTAACATGTATACGTGATTCCAGATATTGAGTTTGCGCAGACTATTGAAATGCTTAGTCGTTAGGGCTCTCTTGCTCTTGCACGGGCTGAGTCAGAGATGAGAAGTATAATTGACCACAGACGAAGCACTTAGTGTTTCCATGTAACATAGTGATATCAGCCCGAAGCCTCAAGTGTGTGTGGTTTATTAAGCCAGGGACTTATTTTTTAATGCTATGCAGTCTTCCACCCACCTGCCAGCCCACACCCTCCACGTCATTTCCCCTGACAGTGTGTGAGGCCAGAGCCTCACTGTCGAAATCCTGCCCTGACTTCTCTTTACTTTCCCAGGTGATTGTGGAAAAAGTCTCAGGCTCTCAGATTGTTGACATTGACAAACGGAAGTACTTGGTGCCGTCCGACATCACCGTGGCTCAGTTTATGTGGATCATCAGGAAAAGGATCCAGCTTCCTTCAGAAAAGGCCATCTTCCTCTTTGTGGATAAGACAGTCCCACAGTCCAGGTGAGCATCGTCACTAGATGGCCCCTCTGCGTCACAGCTGACAACCTGGAACTTTGGGGTCCTTAGGGCCCCTCCGGGAAGTGGGACTTTTGTGCTCCTCGACAGTAGGATCACGAGGAGCATGAGGAAGGGCTGCAGTGCCTGAGCGCACTTGGGCTGAAGAAAGTAGGGCAAGGCCTGGCGTTTTTTGAAAGAGAATGATGAAACCTAGCCTTACACTCGCAGGAATCCTTTAAAACAGTTGCTGGCTCAGGCTTAGAATTGATCTCTGAACTGAAGTTTTCTCCACATCTAGCCTATGCCTCACTTCCAGGAGCTTGGGGTCCGTGCTGAGGCTCTGCTTCAGCTCATCACACTGCCCGTTTGCTCTCCAGACTCATTTAGCTCTTGCCATTGTGAGAATCTATAGCTACATGACACATCTGTTTCAAAGGCTGCTGTCCAGTAAAGCCTCTGAGGTCTCTTCACAGACTTCCTCAGTACCACCTGCTTGGACTGGAAGAGTTAACAGTGTCCACACTCTCTGCCTAGAAGCAAACTTTGAGGCCTAAATTAAGAAAGGATGTTACGATTCCTCTTCTGTGTAGGTGATAACCCTGGCTTTTGTCTCCTGTGGAAAGAGGACAGAGCACTGACGTGTCTCCCATCAATGGATATTTGAGGCCCAGAACCATGTTTTGGTCCTTAACCTCTTCCCTAAGTGCGTGGTTCTTAGCTCTTAACCTTGATGAGCTGGAACTAGCTCAGATAACTTTTGTTATTCTGAAAGCAGTAGTTGAAAAGCTAAGAGTTGAGGAAGCCCTGGCACTAGTCTACTGCAGCCAAAATAGGTGTGTTTGAAAATCCTTAAAAGGACCAGAAGAGACCTAAGCTTAATTACTGATGTTATTTCTATTAAAAGTGGGAAGCTCTGGCTGTTTTAAAATCTGATTTCCTCTTTCCCATTCTCTGTCATTTCTGCTTCTTAGAATTTGGAAGGACAGAACATGGAAGACATGTCCTTCCTTTAAGGCCAACATCCCATCTGCAGATAGAGATCAGAGCCTGCCCATTGGCTGCCACTGTCTGTGACAGTGTCATTACAGATGATCTGGTCACCCGATTGGGTTTTATAGCTGCCTTCTCCACAGACCTGTAGATAGTGTATTGCTGGGTGCATTGGTTCCCAAGGGGACCTGTCGTGATGCAGCTTTCCTTTTGAGGGGACGGTTAGATGCCATCTAATCAATTTTTAACTCCTAGTGATCCTCTGTACAATAGAATGAAACACTGCCTGATCCACTGTGTTACAGAGGTAAATCTGTACCGTACCACCTCTGACCTCAGCAGGGCCTTGGCCACCTGTTTGTGTTTCTTCTTTGTGGAGGTGGCTTCTTAACTGGCAGGAGGAAGTAGGTGACTAGTACCTTTGGCATTGAGTTTGTTTTCCTCAATTCTGATCCCACACTTCTTGAAGGATGCTGGGGCAGGTGCAGCAGCCTCCTGGAGAGAGGAAGGTTACTCACCATCAAAGTGGCTGCAGATCTCAGGCTGCTCTCCCCTTGCCCCATTAGCCCCATGTTGGAATAGAATTGGAAGTGAAGTGGTCTCTGTTTGGGAAGCAGATGCTGCCATCTTTTCTCCAGCCCACTGGCCTTTCCAGTTTGGTGAAAACCCACCTTAAAGAGGATTACGCCAGCCAGTGACCCAAGTCTGGATTTTAGGAAAACATACCAGGAACCCAGTTCTTAACTCTGCTTCCTCAGTGCTGGGTGTAGTGAGGTCATGAAGAGCGAGCTGATGCCTTGAGTCTTCCTCAGTCACTTCCCAAAACCTGTGCTGTGGCCCTGGTTAAAGACTCCTGCTCTACACTTGGTTCCTTACTCAGTGGGGATTTTTGGAGGGGAGGAAGTTCTGCTCTGTCCTGTAGGGTCATTGTGAGTCACAGTCAACGCAACTGCAGTGGATTTGGTTTGGGAACACCCAGAAAGAATATGTTCCTTAGAAGATTCAACCGTAAGAGACCAAAAGGGCAAACAAAGGTAAAAGGGGCAGGGCAAGTGGATGAGTGGAAACGAGGGTGCTGACACATGAGAGAGGTCACAGTCAGTGTCTAGGAAGGAGTTCTCTATAAACTATTGAATTTGCCATTTACCTAAATTTTCACCCAAAATTTTCTTTAAAAAGAAAAAAAAATGCATCAAATTTGTTTATAATCAAAGGACTCACATGGTAGCCTTCAGCTTCATGCAAACTCTCACCACCTGACAGCACAAGCAGAAGACCCTTCCAAACCCAAACACTGCCTCCAGAACTGCCCAGCCTTTCTAGTGCTCTTCGAAGCAGACCTCCCCCCCACTAAGTGGCTAATGGGTCCAGACCGCTGACCTTTGAAGTTAGCTGTCAGGTCCTTTAGACACTGAGCCACTGAGTGTTTTAAAACTTAAAGCAGAGCCACTGCTGTGATTTCTCACTGACTGACCCAGCATGAGCCCCCTTTAGGTGTCTGACCTGCAGGCCTCTCCAGGAGCAGACTGTCAATCTCTCTCCCCCAGAGCAGCTGGTGGGCTCAAACTGCTGACCTTTTGGCTAGTAGTCCAACAGTTACCCGCTGTGCTACCAAGGCTCCTTAAAAGTGCCATAGGGTCCCTTTGCAGGTGCGTGACTCAGCCGCGCTTTCTCCCCGTGGCTGGTTGGCAGTGTACTCAGGCTTTTTCTGAAGTCCTTAGGGCATGCTGGGGCTTCCTTAACTTCTGACTAATGCTCACGGGCAGGGTTTTACAGTATTGAGACTGAGTCCTCCATCCGTTCTGATTCTGGAAATGGAGACTGAGCAGAAAGAACAAAACTTACCATCATCGAGTCAGTGAGCACTTAGCGAGCCCACAGGACAGCAGAACTCCCCTCCTCATTTCCAAATCTTTATAACAGCAGCCCCAGACCGCTTTTTCCAGTGGAACAGCTGCTGGGGCTGAACTGCACTATGGCTCCTTAGAAATAGAAAAAGGCCTAACATAGTGTTATTTGCTTCCTGAATATTTTGCAAATCTAAGCTGCCCTTTCGCATTTCAAGTTGAAGTCTTCACCTGGGTGCTGGTTTCAGGAATTGGGCCAAAAAGGAAAGAGGAACTAGGCTTCGGTGCAGGCAGCCCTTGAGGAGGAAGGAGCAGCAGGTTTCCCAGAGGCCTGCAGTGGTTTTACCTTTTGGTCTTTGTTTGGAACACGAACTTAAGTCTTGCAAATCCCGTTCAATAAAAAGAAACAAAAAAAAAAAACCACCCCCCTACCCCCCGACTCACTGGCAGGACCCAGGTCTGGTGGAAGGAGGCACACGGGCTCTCTGACAGATGGGCGGCCAGGTGTGCCGCTCGATGGCAGTCACCGCAGAGTCAGGCTGGTCCACAGCCTCCCTGACCTGACCTTGATCCCAGGCTGCAGGGACGGGGCATCTGGTGCTTCTAGGTCACCTCACCCAAACTTAGCCGAGTCATTTATTATTGTGATCTGGGTGAAAATTTACAAAAGTAGTTGGGTCTTCATCCAACTGTTTATACACATTTTGTTTATCACATTTGTTGTTGTTCAGTGTCCGCAGTCTTAGCTGACTCATAGCAGTCCTGTGAACAAAGGCCTGCGCACTGTTCATAGGCCGTTTCGGAAGTGGATGCCGCTCCTGTTTCCAAGCTTGTTTTAATCGGGAAGCTCCACCACACACTGCCCACCATGGGTGTTATCACATTAACTACAAAAGAATAAAATTAAGGGCCTGGTGCTGTTTTGTTTTTTTTTAAGCACTCTGTTTTATCTCCTGGGGTGGGTCATAAAACCATGTTTGAGGGTAAGCATTAGATTATTTACTATTTCCTGGAGGTCAGAAAATCAGCAAAATGGAATTAACAAAGAACAAGATGCAGCCACACTCTTCCCACATGTCATTGTTTCATTAATCCTTCTACCTCTTCCTGCCACCTGAGCTTTATTCTTGGGCAAATGCTGTCTTTTTGACCCCAGCTAGTTGATTTTTTTCCAAGGAATGAGTGCCTCTCTGGTGTCGGTGTTCCCATGTTACACGTCTGTCTCGTGTTTGGCTGTGCGTTGAACCCTGGCGTTGAGTAGATTTGGGGGGCTATATAGCAAGTAGGCTTTATTTAAAATGCATGCTTGGGCTGAGGTTCAGTTGACATCGGCACTGAACAAGAAGAGTAGGAGATGTATCCATTCTGTGTTGGACCTTTGAGGATAGTCAGAGGAACTTCAGGCAACTGGGCCCGTTTCATATTTTCATCATTTTCTATTTTATCTCCTCGGTTGGGGTATGATGTGTAGGAGTAAACATTTAGATTTTTTACTATATGTTGGAACACAAACAGCCAATTCAGGTAGGGTCAGAGGTCAGCAAAATGGAATCCATTTGGTTTTAGCTTTATATTCTCAACTTTAAAGTGGCAAAGAGGAAGAACTAAAAATTATTCCTCCTGAAAGAGGTGAAGCCAGTAGAGGGGTCTTCTCTTGAAGGTGGCTCGAGTGGAATTGGTTGATCTGGAAAGCTTGTTAACAGAAACTCCTGTGATCTGGTTTGCTAAGGCTTCAATTCCATGAGTCAGGCAGTGGTGCTAGGAAGCTCAAGAGTTCAGTTCTCTTGCTTCTGAACTGCAGTGAGGAGAGGTCCGCTGAAGACTCTCCTCGTGTGGGCCACCGGATGGAAGTCCAAACTCAACTACCGTGGGCTTTGAAGGGTAAACGAGGGCTGTTGTCTTGGGTATTCTGCCATTCTCAATTAGACCAGTAAGTTCATCTTTATTTTTGCCTTGTTTCTTCCTTGGAAAAGTGGATTTGGCTGGATGTGGGAAGTCTAGGGAAGGTGTCTTAGGGGAAGAGTACAGATTCGTTCCACTACACAGGAGGATGGTTCCGTACCTTGAATCTGCCGCCACTAGCGCCTTTTCCTGTTTGTTCCTCCTCACTGATCTTGACGGTGGTAGTGACCTTGGTATGAGTGTGCATGCTTGGAGAGGCAGCATGTAGTGCTGGGGCTACCTCTGAGTGTCTGCGGCACCTCTCAGCTTCTCACAGTGAGCATCTTTCCAGTGCTCCGGCCGGCCGGCCACCTGGTGTGTCTGAGCCTGCAGTGACAGTGGAGCTCCTCACGCAGGACCGCGTGGACAGGGCCGTGTGACCAGGCTCCCAGCTCCGAGGGGCGCTCATCTCCAGGGTGATGGAAAATGGAGGAAACACACACAGGAGCCCCCCAGGGTTCTCTGCCTGCTGTCGGGCCGCTTTGCCTCTTAGTTCCACTTGGGTGACCTTTTATGGAACTCTCGTTTTTTGTAAGTCATGTCTGTTTATGACCATTCTCTTTATGGATGCAGGCCAAGACACTGTGAGTCTATGTGAGTGTGTGTGTGTCTCCATAAGCTCTAACTTCACGTTCTTATCTTTATACATGTGCTTGTCCAGTTGCTGCCAGCTAAATAGTTTCCACACGAAGGTAGTGTGACAGTGAAAAGGAGACCAGAGCTGGGACTTTCTCAGTGGTCAGGCACAGCCTTCAAGCTCTCTTGTTACAGGAGCGAGTGCTCTCTGCCGCCTGGTGTTCAGCCGTTTGGTGGTTGCACTGACCTTGCCCCCGTGCATGTCAGAAAGGCTCCACCCCAGACCTGCTGGGTCCAGGTCGGCAGTGGGACGAGATGCCAGGTGACTGGTGGCACATTGGCATGGAGGTGGAGTGGTGTTCTGAGGAAGGTCTCCAGATGCCAGGCTCTGATGCCCTGCCTAGCTTTGTGTCCTTCCAGGAGGCAGCCTCGACAGTTACTGACTCTCCTAGCCTGGTGACCTTGGGCCTCTCCCAGGATTAGCTTTGATTTCCTCATCTATGACTACAGATAGTATTTCTGCATAAGATTGTTGTGAGGATAAAGATTCATATATGGAATACATTTAGAACATATTTGGCACATACTAAGTGCTTGCAGTTGTAATTAACATTTCTTACTATCTGTGTCTTTAACCAGGCTAGTGGTTAAGCAAATTGGTAAAAGTCACGTTTTACCTTAAAGACAATACAGAATCTAAAAGCAGAAAAGATTAAAAGCCATATGATCATGAGTTCCTGTCAAAAGTCAGGGCTCAGCGCCTGGGAACTTGCCATAGACAGTGGTGGTCCTGGTGGGCATGGTTCACTGGGGGTAGCTTGTGAAGTGTGGACTGGGCCACTGTCGTAAGGCGTGTGGGTATTTCTCGGTTCAAGCTCATGGCCGTCGAGGAAGAGCAGACCCTCTAGCAGGTGTCCCTGGAGGGGACTGTCCAGTGTTTTCCCCCAGAGTTGTAGGTGGGATTGGGTTAGTAAGTAGGGTTCGTCGCGCAGTTTCTTTTGGACCACATCACCAGGAGTTGGTGGGTGCCGTTGAGTCAACCAACAGGCACAGTGACCCTGTGAATAACAGATCTGAATCCTGCCCTCTCCTGTGTCATCCTCGGCATTGCTGATATACTTGAGCCCATTGTTATAGTCATTGCCAGTGCTTCTTGTCGTCTTCCTCTCGTGTGCTGACCCTCTGCATTGCCAAGCATCCGCAGTGGACAGGTTTCAGCGGAGCTTCCAGATTCAGACAGACTAAGAAATAGGATGGCCATCCACTTCTGAAATAGGCCTTCGAAAAGCCTTGAACAATAAAGGAACACTGATAGATGCCACCGCTGGGCCCTTGTTTATTAGTCAGCAGTCGGGACTGAGAATCATCCATTACGGCTTTGTGACTTGCTGTGAAAAACACAGAACCTAGATAGCACCAGGGGGCTGGCTTACTGGCTTGAATTGCCTACATAGTGTCATTTGCTGTTGTCTAAACTAGGTCATGTGGTGATGGGAGTGGGGAACAGTCTAGAAACCTCATCATAGTCATCCCACTTAGGGCAGTGCAGAAAAGCAGGAATTTCCTTGCGCCCTTGCTAGTAGGCGGTGTACAAGTCTTGTTAGATTCGGCAACATGATCAAGCGCTTCTGCTGGATGGTTCTCCACCTGAATGTGGGGTCATCTTGGCATTTAAAAATGAGTGTGGGAGCCTGGGGGGGGGGGCTGGGGCATGGAGAGATTTTTATGAAGAGTCCCACTGATCTAATGTACCACCAGGGTGTCATGTTCTTAGGCAGTGCCCTCAAGAGTAATAGTGTGTCACCAACATAGCTTTAATAATTGACTGTAATCTCGGCTATACATTGAGACAGCACTAGGTATATTGTTGCTCAGGTGCTGTTGGGTCGGTTGACGCTGCACAACCTCACAGTCTGCTGTGCTCATGCCCATTGTTGCAGTCCATTGTCTGTTTCACTGAAGGTCTGATCTTTCATGGACACTCTGCTTTTCGACGCATTGTGCCCATTTCCAGGGATTAGCCCTTCCTGATAAAATACCCTAAAGATACATAGATGTATGTGCACTTTGGGTATACAGATATCATTTCAGAGTATGAAAATGACAGGGGAAGTTTACCTTTTCCCCTTCTAACACTTAAATTCTGGAGTTTACACTTAAACAGAACGGCTCACTTCAGACTGACAAGATTTCAAGTGCTCAGTAGTCATATGCAGCACAGAGAACAGTCCTTTTATTGGACTGTTCAGGTCTAGGAATTCCTGTAAATTGCAGGGTATGACTTTGATAAGGAACAAAGTTGTATTGGTCACAGTGCTAATGTCAGGCCCCTTACGCCAATGGCCTCTGAGGCTGAGCTCGCAGGTGGGGCATGGGGCACGCATTGCTTGCTGTGCCAGAACCTGAGGACCCACTCTGGCTTTAGGTGAATGGGTCCTGCAGGTTAAGTACCACTTCTTCTAGAACCTCTGGCCGACCCGACCCTCGTGTCACGCTGCCCCTTTTGTGCAGGGTGGAGGATGTGGGCATGCTAGCGTGAAACAGGAGTGTGTTCCAGGTGTTAGGAGTCTTACTCTGCCCCGTGGTGGAGAGCGCAATTGGATCTCCTCCAGTGCGGTCTGTTTTCCAGTTAGAGAAAGCCAGCTTTCCCACCCACACTCTTAGCTTGAAGAGTATCTATTTCTGGAGGGTTCTCTGGGCGGCTGGGCAGGGCCACTTTGGATTCCATATCCAGTCAGAGCGCATGTTTGTGTTACTAGTGAGGAAGGTACTTGTTTCTCTCTAGTTGGCCAGTGCAGGCCTCTGGGACAGCAGAGCTTCCACAGAGAGAAACCCTTGTTTGTACCTGTCATGTCAGCTTCACATGATGCAGCTTTAGGCAGATCACCTTGAGAGAGGGGCCACATGGCCTGACGCCTTCCCCTACATGGGTGGGCCTTTCTGGTTTATGAGTTTAGGTCTTTCCTTGCCCTTGACATTCATAGGCTAGCCAGCCACACCCTTAAATCGAGCATGTTTTCAGTAATGAAAGGCTTTTGGGGGGGGGGTAATAGGAATTTCGATAAAGCTCTAGGGACATTTACTGAGGGGTGGGGGTTGGTGAGATGAGTAGTTATACAGGCTCCCACTAGATGGCAGCACCCTCTAAACATGGGATAGTGTCTTCCCACTAAGTGGAAATGGTAGGTAAACATAGTACTTCCTGCAGGTCACAGAAGGGTAAAAGGATTTACGTTGTTTTTCCTGCCCCCTGAACTAGATAACCAGTCCCAATTCTCAGTGTTTTCTTCTTTCCCATTCCAGCCTAACCATGGGACAGCTTTATGAGAAGGAAAAAGATGAAGATGGATTCTTGTGTGTGGCCTGCAGTGGAGAGAACACTTTTGGCTTCTGAGGGCCAGCGTGATCTGGGTGCACCGATGATCCTCTTTGTGTATCTTGTAAATAGCCGGCCATTTTCAGTTATCACACCAGATCTTCTTGACATAGACCTCTTAGTGCATTTGTAACTGGATTTATTTCTTAATATATTGGAAAGTTTTGTTTCTCTAGACTAGTAAATTATCATACAGAGTTTTATTCTTTTTTGTGCATTGTGCTCATGGCTATCCTCCCCAGGGAACGTGTTACTCTGGGAATCCTATTTAATGAAGATATTTCCACACTGAAGTGAGGTAGGCAGGATATTAAAATGAAAGAGAGGGAGATGATGCATTTATTCCACATTATGTTTGAAGTGTTAGATGGCTAAGTATTAAAGCATCCAGATTAAATCCTTAGCAATCAGAACACTTGCTTCACTAGATTTTTGCCAACTGCCAATCATGTTGGACTGAGCTAATCTGTTCTTCTTTCTGAATCTATTAAGGTAAATAATTAACAATAAAACTTGTAAAGGCATTGTGATGTGGTCATGTCGTTCATTCACCTGCATCTGGACAGGGCAAGAAAAGGGCTCATGGGTCCATGGCAGCGACTGCCTGGACAGAGAAGTGGTATCTGTCCCAGGTGGCGGCAGGCATGACCTGGGTCCACGTGGGAGCCATGCCAGTTCCCGAGGGACAGATACAAGTAAAGGAGGGAGATGAGACTAGCAAAAATGACTGCTGTTCACACCAAGACTCTTAATACACCTGCATTCTATGAATTCTTTTTAGGTTAGAACTCAACCTGGGTTAAGTGTCATGCCTCAGAGATACTGTGGAGGCACTGGGTTTTCTCGCAGTCCACTGCAACAGTGCCACAGAAAGTGAGTCTCCGAGTGTTTTGGTGCCAGTGTATCTGTTCTGTTTCCACTAGACAGTCATCTACTAATGGAACCCTGGTGGTAGATTGCTGCTAACCATAAGGCCTGCATTTTGAGTAGTGCTAAGGATTGCACTGGCAACACAAAGGTACATGGTTCAAAACCACAGGAGGATGATGAGCAGTCTCTTCTGATTTGTTATGTACCATGGAGACAGAACCAGCTTCTAGCTGACGGGACCTTCCAGCAGGGTTTCTCCCATGCCTGTGTGACTTACTGCCTCTGAAAACCTACTGGAGGGTTGGCTACGGGTTGGTTCCGACTCGATGGTAGAGAACAAAGTTGAATCTTTACCCTTCACTGTAGCAGAAACTTGTACACTTCCCCTCTCCTTTTTTTACGTCCATTTTGCTTCCCTTGTCATCTTTAATTCCTTGAGGTTGATTTCAAAGAGCCAAAGCCACGAGAGGGGGAGGTAGGAGGCTCTCTCTATATATATCTCTGGATCAACAGCTTTGCTTCCTGGCTGCCTTCGCCCCTGCAGACAGGCTGCTGGGTGAACTGGTGCATGCAAGCAACGTGCACATACGGGGCTCACAGCAAGAGGACCCACAGACGTTTGCCCAGTAACTTCTGAGGATAGTCTGCTGTTTATTAGCAAAAGCTCTGGGAATCTGAACTAGTAAATTAAAATTAGTCACTTACAGGGCTGAAATAGTACATTTCTGTCCAGCCACTTAACAAGTACAGGCAGCCCCCGTCATACCTGCGTTGTCCATTTCATCCCCCACACACTGTCGGGTGAGGACAGTGGTAACCTAGGACTGTAGTTACCCATCCCAGGATGACAACCTGGAGCTAGACTATGAAGAATTTTCTAGAAGATCCACCTTGTTCTGCTAATTCACAAGAAGGAAGGCTTACTGGTGGTATTTGGTTCATATACATTTATGTAAACTTCTGAAACGAAACACACTTTTTCAATTAACCACACTTTAAGCTTCCTACTTGTGAATATATTAGTTTCTGTATTTGTTAACAAGCCTGCCTTTATTTTAAAACAAAAGTAATATGTCAATACACAGGCATATCCTGGAGATACTGTGGGGTTAGTTCCAAACCATGCAATGAAGTGAGTTATGCGAGTGTTTGGGTTTCCTGGTTCAAATAAAGGTTAAAAGGTGTGTCATCTTCAGTTGTGTTGTTGTGTGATGCTGAGTCGGAACTGACTCACTCAGCTGACCCTCCAGGGGTCTGACAGCAGTATGTTGCGTGGGAGGTAGCCCATCCTCCCACAGATTTGAACCACATGCCTTTGGGATTGCAGCACAGGTTCTTAACCACTAGGCCACTGGAGCTCCCTGCTGACTACTAACCAGTCAACTAAATGTGATAAAAATGTCATTATTTTGAGAATTACTAAAATGTTACACACACAAACACATGCTGTTGAAAAAATGGTGCTCAACTGATCTACCCAGTGTAGACTTAGCCTGATCTTCTACTTGCAAGAAATGCAGAATCTAGAAAGCACAATAAAATGATGTCAACCTAGATATACAGCCAAATAGGGCTCCACTTTAGCCCTCGTCTTTTCTAGACAGAGGGGCACAGAGCTGGCCTACACAACTGGCCTGCTGCTGGAGAGGCGCCACGCCGAGACAGGAGGGCCAGCTGTGTGCAGCCGGTTTTCCTGCACCACCAGTCACCACCCTCAGGCCATGTTTCTACTGCTAACTGGGTAGTACCACGGATCAGATCAGCAGAGAAGGCAATCATCAGAGGACAAAACACACGGCCAAAGGCACCAATGGTGATGTAAGTCCCCTTGGGGAGGGAACTTGCACATCAGGTTTTGAGGAGACAGGGTTATGAAACTTGGGCCAAGGAAGTCCTCTTTCAGTTAACAAACGCAGATTCAGAGAAAAGAGGAGCACATGTGATAGAGTTTGCACTTTCTGCTGGGCACAGCCTAGGCCGCCCACAGTGCAGTTCCCAGGGGCTTCCTGCCATGCAACAGGTAAAGGCCCTGTTGTTGAGATGCGGGTAGTGGGCTCTTTTGTCCTGTTGCTGTCAGGTTGGTTTCACCAGTGAGGGGCCCCCTGCACCTCTCCCCATGGGAATGCTGCTGGGTTTCAATGTGCTTTTCATCCCCTGGCTGCCTCAGCAAACGGCCATCACTGTTTCCATTGTGAGTGCTTTCCTGTCTGGAGCCAGGCCCAGGTTCAGGGAGTGTGTGCTGCAGACCAGCCCTTGGCAGCTGGTCCCTCCTCCGAGTGACTCTCTGCCCTGGCTCTTCCTCCCGCTGAGGTGCCTCCTGCGTGGGGCACGTGGAAAGCAGGGCACAGGAGGTGTTCTCGGTTCTCAGAGCTGGTTCCTGGCCCTGCTGGGTCATTAGGATGAAGACTATGATCCCACACCAAATAGCGGAGGCCAGGCTCACTGATGGTTAAGGAAAAGCATTCTTTCCACCACTCCTGTCACTGCCATGCCCTAGGCCGCAAATCTCTTGCATCAGTGGGTTCAGTTTCCTGGAAAGAATTTCTCTTTGTATTAACTATCCAACTATGAAAGCATTTTTTTTAAAATTTTAGGGGAAAGTGAGAACATAGTCCCCCACTACCACAAATTATGCAGTCGAGTTTCCCACATTTGGGGAAATCGCAGGGCTCAGCACATCCAGAGTGCAATAGATAAGCCTTGTCCTGAGAAAACCACCATCGTGATCATGGTATCTCTCCTGCCTGATAAGTATATGAAAGCAATTTTAAGCAAGAAAATTGGTGTGGGGAAAAAATGAGTTTCATTAGTGGGATCACATTTGGTAGAACAGGTGAGAAGCTATAAATTACTTTCTCCATATTCACAAAGGAAGGAAGTTAGTCGCAGAGTTGGTGGTACAAGAACATGATTACCTGAATATCCCAGAGACCAATTATCCCCCACCCCCACCCCCGCAGAGCAACTATTGTATTCGAACTGTTGACCTTTCAGTTAGCAGTCTGATACATAGTGTAGTAGTTAATAAGGGCTACTAGTCACAAGCGACTCACCGGCACATAACAACAACTTTTATAAGTTCTTATACAACACAGGTCTGAAATGAACCATTTGGTAAGTTTTGACAAGTGTTATCAACACTCCAATCAAGGCATAGAATGGAAATCTCGTCCTTGAAAGTTCTTGGTCTTTTAATGCAGGCCCACCCCACTCATCATACAACCACTATGATCTGATCTTTATGCTCCTTCAGGACTTTTGGAGCTCTAGTTAAGAAAAAATAGAACTAAAGTTGCTTTACCTGCTGCCCTGAAGTTCTTCTTTCCAGAATCTTCCTCCCCCTGTGGACTGCAGGTGGTACTTAAAATGTGTTTGGACTCATCTGGGCAGCCGTGATGGAACTCAGTCCTAAATCCCATTCCTAAACCCATGCCCATGGAGCTGATTCCTCCTGCTCAGAGACCTGTAGACCTGTAGACACATTTAGTAAAAGGGATTCACCTTTCTAGGATGTGAAGGTTCACTAGGGGCTTTTTTTTTAAGTAACCAAAAAAAATCTCCGTTTTGAGAAAATGTTGGCATTTCACCCAAGTATGTGCTATCTCAGCCCTTCTGTACTCAAGTTCTTTCCTGGCTTCATTTCTAGAGTTTTTTAAAAACTTCAAAGTGAGCAAGTGTATATAGTCTTTGTCCCTGCAGATATTTGTCCTCGCTTCAGCTCTGGTACCTGTGCCAATCGCTCACCCTCACCCCTCAGTCCTGCGTCCAGACACTGGTCCAGGAGGGCAGGGGCAGCTGAACCAGTCAGGGAGGGAACCAGAATTTAGACACTGGAAAATTTTGCAGAGAGCTTGCTCAGAACATTTGTTTTTAAAGCCAAAAACTGTTGTCAAGGCCCAGGTGGAGACGACTTTCCACCAACTACAGACGCATGGCATCGGTGAGCCTGTCCTCCAGCCACGGCGCCTGGGAGCCGGCGGCCAGGAAGGCCATCTTCTCAGAGGCTTCGGCTTTGTTCTCCCAGACAGTGAGCTAATGCTTGGCACCGCGGACTCCAGAACACAAGCGATTTAACTCCATGCTTCGCAGCAGAGATGACTACATGGAATGGAGCCACAGAATGAGTTCGGCCAAGCCACGTTTTAAAACTGTTCAAAGAAAATGGAGGGAAATTATGCACATGGAGAGTCCTAACACCAGAAGCCACTCTGGATCGAGGTGTAAACTTCCCAGAGTGCGCCAGTTCCTGGGAGACGTTCTATTCATCATGAGAAAATTCTGTGCAGTTGAAGCTGCCAGAAGCACAATATGAGATTCCAAGTCGCCACGTGACTTCTATTTTCTGGTATTTGTACCATTTAAGATGGAAAAACCCTTTTTTCCCTCTAATTGTTTTCAGTGTTTAAAATTTAGCTTTTTAGAGAAGTGTAGGAGGCTACACTGAACTGAGCTTCTGTTAAGGGCGATGCAAAAATATGGAAACAGAAAGTGGTAGTGTTTGCACATGATGGAGGTAATTAACGTCACTGAACTGTGTATGCAAAAATACGCCGACATGGAAAACAGCACTTTTAATTTTTAAAATAGGAAGACTGGACCAACTGATGTCTTTGAATTGTGGCGCTGGCAAAAAAATACTGACTGTACCATGGAC